GACTGGTATGGCTGAGCAGGTTGGATGTCATCCCGAAAATCAAAAGGTTGCCAGTTCGATTCTAGGTCAGGGCACATGCCTGGGTTGCAAGCCAGGTCCCTGGTTGGGGGTGTGCAAGAGGCAAATGGTCAATGTTTCTCTTGCACATTGATGTTTCTTTCCCTCATTTTCTCCCTCCTTTCCCTCCTCTCTAAAAATAAATAAAATCTTTAAAAAATTATTTAGGGGTCAAAGAGGAAGTCTCAAGAGAAATTCAAAACTACAGTCATACCTTGTTACTCGTTGGCTTCAGAACTCATCAAACCTGGTACTCATTGCATTTTGATGAGAAAAAAATATTTTGGGGCTTGGCACTTGCTCGCCACTTCGTTAATCAATTAATTAATTAATTCAACATGGATCACAGACCTAGAGGTAAAGTATAAAAATACAAAACATAGGAGAGAACCTATGGGATATAGGCAAAGCATTCCTAGATTTAATACCAAAAGCATGACCCGTAAAAGGAAAAATTGGTTAGCTGGACATCATTAAAATTAAAAACATTTCTCTGTGAAAGTCTCTACTAAGAGGATGAAAAAACAAGCTACAGACTGGGAAAAAACTATTTACAAACCATATGTCTAGCAAAAGACTAGGATGAAAAATATATAAGAATTCTCAAAACTCAACAGTAACAAAGCAAATAGTCCAATTAAAAATCGGCACCAATTAAAAATTGTAAAGAGACATACAGACATAAAGGTGGCAAGTAAGCACATGAAAGGATTTTCAACATAATTAGTCATCAAGGAAATGCAAATTGAAGCCACAATGAGATATCACTCTATACCTATCAGAATGGCTAAAATAAAAAAGAATGATAACACCAAATGCTGGTGAAGATGCAGAGAAACTGAAACACTCAGAGCCTGCTAGTGGGTGGGGATGTAAAATGATACAGTTACTTTGGATAGGAGTTTGGCAGTTCCTTAAAATGCTAAACGTACAGCTACCTTATGACCCAGGAATAGTACTCCTGGGTATTTTTCACAGAGAAATCAAAACTTATGTTGACACAAAAACCTGAACATGAATGTTTTTAATGTTTAGAGCAGCTTTATTCATAATAAACTGCTCCAAAGTGGAATCAACCTTCAGTGGGTGAATGGTCCAACAGACTGATACATCCATACCTTGGAATACTACTTAGCAATAATAAGGAACAAACTATTCATACACACAACAATCTGGACACATGTCTAGAGATCTATACTGAATGAAAAAGCCAATACCAAAAAGTTGCATACTATGTGAATTGTCCTTTTTGAAATAACAAAATTATAGAAATTGAGAACAGATGAGTGGTTGCTAGGGATTAAGGATGGGGTGGGAGCCGAAGGGAAATAGGTGTGTCTCTAAAAGGGCAATGTAAGGAGTCCTCCTGGGGATGGAACTGTTCTCTATCTTGACTGTCTCGATGTCAATACTGGGTTGTTATATTGTCCTACAGTTTGCCAAGATGCTACATAGGGGGAAACTGGGTAAAGGGTACATGTGATCTCCTTGTATTATTTCTTATACCTGCATGTGAATCTACAATCATCTAAAAATTTTAAAAAATAATTAAAAAATACATCCTTCTGTAGCCAGTCTATCATTTTCTGCTTTTATTTCGCAGAAAGCGGGGCTCAAAGCTGTGACAATCAAGATTTCTCAATGTAGAGTGAATTTTAATGTTCTCTGAGCTTTGCCCTCTTCTGTCATTCCATTAGGGGTCTTGCCTACTGAGATTACTCGAGGGGCTTCCAGCCTCTCATTTATTTAATATTATTATTATTATTTGTTCATACTGCCATAGGGTAATTCACTCAGCTTCCAGGTTGCCCTGGCAATCTAAGAATAATGTCCCCTGTTTGCTACTGAGGAACTAGAAAGATGATTTGCTCAGGAGCTTCTGAATGCAGGTCCCAGAATTCTTTCTTCTTCATACATGTGTGATTTGGAATCACTCTTATTTTTCCTGATCATTAAATTCATCTTTATCTAGCATCTATCTTAGGCCACTTCAGAAATCACCACCTTTTGGAAGCAGGAAAAAACTCAAATCCCAGCATCTTACCTGAACCTGAACCACTCCATTCAGGGCCAGCTTGGACAGAGCCAAGATTTCCTGAGGGCCCACAGGGAGGTTGCTAGGGATTCAAGAACTGTGAGATGGTGGGGGTTTTCTCCCAACAAAGAAAGGGTTTTGCAATTTTCCTGCTGCTTCTGGGAATACCAGCTCTCCGTTGACCACATTTGGAGCAGGTGTGGGATGGGGTAGTGAGGTGGCATTGCTTCTGGCTCTAGATCGCTTCCTGTGTAAAAATTACCTCCCTCAAACCAGGGATCAAATGAGGAACTGAAACAGGTGGCTGGAAGGCAAAGGTCTTGGGACCTTTCTTTCACAGCATATTCAGTGGCTGCTCTATGGTGGTGTCATTGGGGAGGAACTGGTGTCATGGAAAAGTTTACTTCTAATTCCATCATTTAAACTGGGAGAAGGCAATCGATATGCTTTCAACTTTAAGCACCTACTTTGTGCTGGACACTATGCTGGATGCTTTGCTGTAATTTAATTCATTGAATCTAAACCCTTGAATCTTCAGAACCACTTGCATTTGGATGAACAGCACCACATAGAAGAGGGGAGTAACAGGGAAAGAGGAGAAGTGACTTGCCCAAGGTCACACAACTGATAAGTGGTGGAGCCTGAATTTAGAGCTAAGTCTCTCAGAATCCAAAGTCTGTGTGTGTGTGTGTGTGTGTGTGTGATGCCGCCACAGAGGCAGTTTCATGTAATGACTAATGGCTAAGAGTACAGACTCTGCAATTAGAGGAATGTCAGGTCTATCATTAGCTCCCCTGGTTCAGGCTGTGTGACCTTGGACAAGTAATTTCACTTCTCATTACCTTCACCTTTATAGATGGGGATCAAGAATTGTTTGGGGGCCGTAGTATTATTGAAGAGGTTTCAGAAGATTTTGCATTTACGTCACACAGAGTGCCTGGCATATATAAGTGATGGAAAATGTTAGCAACCATCTGTTTCCGAAGAGTTTCCGGTATGGTTCCCATGTCCATCTCAGAGCACTTTATCAACCCTCATTTTCCCAGGACCAGTCAGAACTCACCTGCTCTCAAGGTCATTGTTTTATCAAAGACAGGAATCATAATAATGGCCCATCATTTTTGTACCTCACCAAATGCCAGGCACTGCCCTAGGCGCTTAGCCACTTTCATCTCGTTTAAATGAAGTGAGAGGCCAAGTCTACCTACCAAAAGGGTGCTCAGTCCCTCCTGTGGTCAGCGGGTGCTTCAATGCGGAATGAAATGCATCCCCCCGTTGCTGAAGCAGGGCAGTAAGAGCAACAGGTACATTGACCGAAAGGCTTATTACCAAGTCAGGCATCCTGCTGAGTGCATTTTTTAAAAATCCTCATCGGATGACATTTTTTTTTTTTTCATTGTTTTTAGAGGGAGAGGAGGGAGAGAGAGAAACGCCAAATGCAGGGAGAAACATTGACTGGTTGCCTTCCACGAGCGCCCACACCGGGGATCACACACCCTGACCAGAGACGGAACCCGCGACCCAGGTACGCGCCCTGACGGTTACCGGGGACGCCGTCCAGGGCCTGCTGAGCGCGGTATTAACAGTGAGCTCCTAAAATCCCTCAGGGAGGGGCTGCTACGACAGTATCCCTATTTTACTGATCAAGAAACCGAGGCTCAGAGAGGATAATTAATTTGCTGTGATAGCTGTTTTGGTTCAGGTGGACGTTGTTTGACAAAACACACATTTCTGAGGCAATGAAAAATTCCCCTGTGAATTGCAAAGACGCCTTGCTGTGGGAAGTAAGTAGCCCTATTCCTCAGCTTTGCTCAGTTTCCCCACATCTTGGTACTTCAGAGCTTGGTATTTCAGACTCTGGTTATTGTTAATTAGACAGCTTTACGCTAACGATCAGGAAATTCGGGCATGTAGAGGTGAAGGAAACTGCCCCGGGACGCAGTCTGACAGCAGCAGAGCTGGCATTCAGTCCCGGTGCCCTGATTTCCAGGCGGGGGCAGCTAGTTACTAAGCAAAAGAGTGCGGAGACTTTGACCAGGAAAAGGAAGGGAGGGAGTGCATCCTTCATTTCCTCACCTGCGAAATGGGGTGAAGACGGGCCCTCCTTGTAGTTGTGGGGGGATGCGTGGGAGTGGCCCAGCTCAGGGTCAGCTACCGATTACTAGGAATATGACAATTGAAAGTGGGGGGGAAGGCCAGAGCAACGGGAGTCCCCAGAGGTAGTGGTGGGGAGGGATCTTGGGAGCAAAGGCGGAGCTTCCGAAGCCAGGGGCGGGGATTCGAGAACTTGGGGGCGGAGCTTGGAGTTTTTAGCGTTTAGGGGGGCAGTGGGCGGGGCTTGCGATGCTGCGAATAGGGTGTTTTGTCTATGGGCGGGGCTTCTAGAATTTGCTGCGGAGTTTTGTGGTGCCGATAGGTCTGTTTTGAAGCAAAGGGCGGGGAGCCCGGCTTAGGGAGCCAGGAGGCTGGCTGAGGGCTCGGATGGGTAGTGGGCGGGGCTTAGCGGACCTGACGTTCCGGTTTTAAGGGGCTCTGGGGAAATCTTTGAGGAGCCGGGCAAGTGGCCCTGCAGAGCCAAGCAGGTCAGTGGGCGGAACTCTGAGAACGCCGCTCCCGGTTGAGGAGCAGTGGGCGTGGCTGGGAGGTGCTAGTGGGCGTGGCTCTCGGCCTCTGAGAGGACTAGCGGGCGGTACGTGCCCCTGGGCTCTGCCTTCCTCTGCGGCCCTCCTGCATCCTTCAGCGCGACCAGAGGGGGCGTTAGAGAGAGTCAGGCGTGGATCGCAGGGTGGGAACAGCACTTTCCTGCCGGAAGTGGGCGTGGCGCGCCGCAGCCTGGCGGCTCTGGTTGGGCGCGGTGCGGTGCGGGGGCGGAGCCTGCGTGAGGCGGTGGGGGCGGTGGCGGCTGCCCACGCCCCTCCCCCGCGCAGCGCTCAGTGCCAGGCGGGAGGCGACAGCGGTTGGAGGCTTCGTCGGGATTTGCAGCGGGGACTTTGGCGGCGGCGCCTGAGGCACCTCGGCCCTGGTGAGCAGCGCGCGCCTGGCGGGGCCGCTTGGGAGCGAGCCGGGCGGGCGGACCTGTCCTCTCAGCATGTGCTGGCGCCGGCTGACAGGAACCGGCGGGGCGTGGGGTAGGGCCCGGTGTAGGGGAGTGGACTGGAGTGGTTGCGCGGGGTGCGGGTCCTTGGACCCGGGGCTCACTCTGGCCAGTGTGCAAGGGTTTGGGGTTGGAGCTGCTACTGGAGGCTCGGAGTCTGGAGGGAAAGGGAGTTGGGGACCGAACCGCTTGGCTTGGGGAGAGTGAACCCGGTTCCTTTTGGGGAGGAGATTGCCCAGGGAGGCTTTTGGGGGTCCGGAACCTTCCTGGCCGGGTGAGGAACCGCGGGCTGAGTGCGGTCTGGGCTGGCCGAGGAAGGTTTTTAGGGATCAGGGACCTGTCTGATTGGGTGGGGTTTTGGGTGGGGAGGGGCTGCTCGAGGCTCAGGCGTAGAGTCCGGGGGCGCCAGACCTGGGGGCAGAGTTGGAGCGGCCCTCGGGAGCGAGTGGGTGAGGGTAGGCAGGGTCGGGGTTCACATGTGGCGGGGGCGAGCTGGGCCCTGCGTGGGAGAGACGAGGGTGACTCTCCGGCCCGGGGGTTGCCTGGCTGTGGGTGCGAGGCTCGCTCTGGGCCCCGAAGATCTGGGTTAGGGGTCGGAAAGGGCGGAACAGGGCCAGAGCTGGAGTAATGTGGGTGGGGGCGGTTTGGGAAGAGGATGAGCCCGGCGTTGGGAGCCGAGGGCTGGGACTGGCGGGGGTGGGGGTGGGGGCGGGCGGTTGGGAAAGGAAGAATGAAGCAGGAATGCTGCAGGGTCGGGGGCCTGGAGTCTGGGTGAACTGGGTGATTCAGAGATGTGCTCCCCCTAACAGCGAAGCAGCTGGCGAGGGACGCAGTAAAAAGGAGCGAGGTGCAGGTGGGGCTTCGCTGCGCTTAAATGACTGAGGATGAGGTCAGATGTTGAGGGTGGAAATGCAGGAACCGAGCTCTCCCGCCTGTCTACACAGGGGCACACACACCAGCTCTCCGTCTCTTAAATGATTTGAACGTGTTGGGGGAAGTGGCAGGCTGCGGGAGAGCTGAGAAGAAAGGGGCTTCCTCTGGGAGAGAGGCGCTGGCCCTGCCGTCCTTTTTTGGGAGTGTTCAAAGGGTTTTGATCGCTGGAAAAGGAAACGTAGGCTTTACTGCATGGTGGTTTAGAATCACATCCTATATTTGGCCTTAATGTAGGCTGCCCTTGTTTTGTGGTGTCTGAAGTCCTTGCTCTACATGGTGCAAACGTGGGATTTGGTGTGAGAAGCAAATTGCAAGTCGTTCATCTCCCTCAGGATAGCATGATACAAAGGCCTTTCGTACCTATAAGACATTTGAAAAGAAATTAATACAATGTGTGTTTTTAAACTGGTACTTAGTGGCGAATATATTTACTTTTCGAAATAGTTACCACGAAATAGTAGGGCTCTTTTACCGGAGCCTTCTTGCCTGGGATTACATTCTAAAACTGTACTCATAGGGCTCTTAGTCACTCTATATAATAATGCATTTTATTGTCCTTATCTGGCAAAACTCTCTCCTGACACCAGGGCCTGCTAGAATAGTCAGAAATATGATTAAGTATAAGCAGTTGTTCTGTACCGTCTGTTCAACTGTGAAGGCAAATAGATATGTGTATATATTTTGAACTTGATTCTGTATATTTCAGAAAAGTAATTTAAGAAAACTTAATTTTTTTTGGCTTGGAGATAGATTTCAGAGTCGCAGTTTTTGGATATGAAGCCTAGTAGTTACCTTTGGGTCTGAGAGGTTGCATAAGTAAATAGAAGTTAAAAAAAGTCAAATAAAACTGGAAACTGTGTTGTATGTTAGGTTTTGAGGACAATGTTTTGTGGTAAATGATAGTAGTCAAGTGCACTAAGGATTGAACAAAGATTGGTATAAAGGTCGGATACACACCTTTGTGACAAATCTGGAATGTGCCCTGTCTGTATTTGTTTTTGATTATTTGTGGACGGTAGAGTAAAGCCTGGTGAATATTAATAGACACATACGAATGAGATATCATTGCACACAGTACTGAATTTTCCTTTTTTAAGTTTTTATTTATTTTTAGTTTTTAAAAAGATTTTATTTATTTACTTTTAGAGAGGGAAGAAAGAGGAGGAGAGAAACATTGCCTCCCACTCCATGTTGCCTCCCACTCCTCCAGTGGGGGGACCTCGCCCACAATCCAGGCATGTGCCATGACTGGGAATCTAACTTGTGACCCTATGGTTTGCAGTATGACATCAAACCCACTGAGCCACACCAGTCAGGGCAAATTTTCCTTTAAAAAATTTTAAATTTGACTTATTAATTTTAGAGAGAGAGAGGGAGGGGAGCAGAGAGAGGGGGTGAAAGATTTGTTGTTCTACTTATTTATGCATTCATTGGTTGATTTTTGCCTGTGGCCTGACCTGGGATTGAACATGCAACCTTGGTGTATTGGGATGATGCTCTAACCAACTGAGCTATGTGACCAGGCTCATAGCTGGTCATTTTTGTGATCATTTGTTACTTTGCTTGCAGATTGTGGTAGTCAGTATTTATGTCTATTACTTTATGTATAGTTTAGGATTAGATTTAGGATTGAAAAACAGCACTATTTAAACACTGTTGGGTTTTTTTCTTAAATAAGTTTTATACTTAATACATCTGTCACTTCGGAGATCCACTCCAACCAAGGGAAGGAGGATCACTTTCTTGTCTATGAAATAGAATGTTCAAAGGGATAAATTCTCAGTTCTTAGATACATAACTGAGAATGGAAGATTCAGTTCTTTATGATGGCAGATTATTGCTTAATACTTTGATTTGCCACAAACTGGTGCTACAGAAACATTATTATTATTATTATTATTATTATTATTATTATTATTATTATTAACTGGGCTGTTTTATCTTTGATTTCTATTTCAGAGGTGGAACAGTAATAAATTGTGGTGCCAGTTTCATGTTTAGGCTACAGATTTATGTGTGTTTTCTGTTTGATGAGTTCCCTATGTTATCTTGAGTTATGAACTCTTTTCTGGCACTTACATGATGTTTTAAACTTAGGATTCCTTTTCTGCATTAAAACATGGAAATTGTCATAAATATTTCAGTATGACCTAGTACCTAGAATGTTAAGTAATAGAATCTCTCTGGGTTTTCATTGCCCTAGTTCAGATCCTTTAAAGTGAGTGAACAAGATTATATACTCCTTTTTGAGACCTTATTTTGTATTTTAATAGTGTATAATGGAGTCCTTTTTTTTAAAGATTTTATTTAGTTATTTTTAGAGGTGGGAAGAGAGGGAGAGAAACATTGACATGGGAAACATGATTGGTTACCTCTCATATGTGCCTGGTTCAGGGACTGAACCTACAATCTAGACATGTGCACAGACTAGGAATCAAACCCATGATCTTTTGCTTTGTGAGAGGGCATTCAACAAACTAAGCCACAACAGTCAGGGCTCTTTTTTATTTTATAATTGTTTTATTGAGATACAACTCACATACCATACAATTCACTAATTTAAAATGTACTATTCACTGGTTTTAGAATAGTCACAGAATTATGCGTCATCACTACAATTGTAGAATATTTTCATCAGCCCAAAAAGAAACCCTATACCAATTAGCAATCCCCTTGCCTCATTCTCCTCCCTCCCCTGCCCTAGGCAACCACTAATCTACTTTTTGTCTCTGGATTTGCTTATTTTGGACATTTCATGTAAGTGGAATCATACAGCACAGGGCCTTTTGTGTCTTTTATTAAGCATAATGTTTTCAAGGTTTATCTGTGTTGTACAGTGTACCAGTACTTCATTCTTTTTTTTATGATTGAATAATATTACACTGTGTGGATATACCATGGTTTGTTTATCCATTTATCTGCTGATTGACATTGGATGCTTCCTTTTTTTGGCTATTATGAGTAATGTTGCTGTGAACATTCATGTACAAGTTTCTGTATGGACATATGTTTTCATTTCTCTTGGGAATTCTCTTGGGTCAAGTTGGTAACTCTATGTTTAACTGTTAAAGGAACTGCCAGACTGTTTTTCAAAGCAGCTATACCATTTTACAATCCTATCAGCAGTGTATAAAGGGTTCAGTTTTCCACACCCTTGTCAACACTTGTTATTCTCTGACTTCTTGATTTTGGCCATTCTCGTGGGTGTGAAGTGGTATCTTGTGGTTTTGGTTTACATTTCTCTGATGACTAATGATGTGTTCAGCATCTTACGTGGTTAGTGGACATTTGTATGCTTTCTTTGGAGATGTGTCTATTCAAATGCTTTGCCCATTTTAAAATCGGGTTATCTTTCTATTATGAGTTATATTCTAGAAACAAGTGCCTTATCAAATATATAATTTACAAATGCTTTTTCCATTTTGTGAGTTGTATTTTTACTTTCTTTTTTTAATCCTCACTGGAGGACATGCTTGTTGATTTTAGGGAGAGTGGAAGGAAAAGAGAAGTGGAGAAAAAGAGGGAGAGAAACAATGCTAGAGAGAAACATCGATCGGTTGCCTCTCATGTACGCCCCTACCAGGGACCAACCCTGCAACCTAGGCATGTGCCCTGATCAGGAATTGAACCCGCAACTCTTCTGTTACAGGACGATGTTCTAACCAACTGAGCTACACCTGCCCAGGATCTTTTCACTTTCTTTTTACTTTCTTTTTTTTCAAAGATACTATTTATTTACTTTTAGAAGCTAGGGAAAGAGAGAGAGAGAGAGAGAGAAACATTGATGTATGAGAGATGCATTGATTGTTTGCCTCTCATGTGCCCCCATCTGGGGACCTGGCCCACAACCCAGACATGTGCCCTGACTGGGAATCAAACTAGCGACCTTTTGGTTCTCAGGCCAGTGCTCAGTCCACTGAGCCACATCAGCCAGGGCTTACTTTCTTGATGGTGTCCTTGAAACACAAAAGTTTTCAATTTTGGTGAAGTCCAAC